GATGAATTAATGCATATTCATATTTATTTTGAACTACAGTAACATCTGATTTCTCTCGACATGGGGACAGGAGAGCTGTCAGCCAATAAATTGAAAAAAAAAAAAAAGTTACTTGCGTTACTTATTTGAAAAAGTAACTGAGATATTCTCTTGTAAATCAAAAAGTAATGCGTTACTTTACTGGCTAACAACAGTCTCGCAGTGTCCATACCTGGCCAATGTCCACCTAAAAAGCCGCTGGATCCTTGTGTGACGGTTTAAATTTGGTTATAAACTGCCTTGAAAAAAAGGTTTGGAGATTTCATATTTATTATGATTTTAGACTACAAGAACTGCAGGATGATGGAAAATGCTTGAATGTGACAAAAATGTGTCTGAATATTTAATTGGTTTTATTGGAATAAAATAATAATAATATCGATCTGACTACATTGGATTACACAGTAAAAAAAAAACTAAATCGGGTTGAAAGTTAAGAGAACAGCTGCACTTTCACTTTTTATAGCATATGATAAGATAAAATACAGCAGATCCATCAGACATTTAAACCTCTCTCAGACCAGGAGAAAGTGGCGTATCTGTTAGGAGAACAGAAGAACTGCTGTGTGTTTGCTGCTCAATATGTGTCTGCCTGTCACCACAGAAGAGAACACACTCAGCCTGCCCTGATCTGATGTTTCCAGCACAGCTACATTATATTAGGCCATATTACTCTATTATATTACTTAGATGTACATTTTTCTTCTGTAAATATGTCTTAATTCCTTATTTTATTTTTATTTCTAGTTTATATACATTAGTAATTCATTTTGCACTACATTCTTAATACTTTTTATATATTATTATTATTATTCTTCTTTCTGTTAATACATGTGTACTATTTGTGAGCAGTCCAGCTGCAATTGCTTTGGCAATACAAATGTATAATTTTTGTCATGCCAATGCCAATGTTCACTCTTAAATTGAAATTGAAATTGAGAGAGAGACACACACACACACACAGAGAGAGAGCATTAATTTCCTTTATAAATTCAGCCCTGGTAAATGGTTTTTCACCTCCCCGAGCTGAAGGTGATCCCTAAAGATATGGGAGTTGGGGGTAATATGAATCAGACTACATTGCTGAAGGGGTATGGTGATTTGGTTTTTCATAATGTGGCGAAGAAAACTCTTTATTATATTTGTATTAAATCTGTGCATGTTGGATAGTTGCAAGGAAGACCAGATACTAAATGGAGAAGTAAGATTTCTATTTGTGAGGGAGTATATCCGTCATGGAGAGTGTTATATAAACCTCCTGTATCTAAGCGATGTGGAGATCTTCAGTGGAGAGTACTCCATTGTGCTATAGCCTCCAATAGTTTAGTTTCAAAATTTAATGAGATGGTTTTACTGTGTCCATCCTGTAATGCTCATGATACTGTTTTTCACATGTTTTTTGAATCTCCAAGACTTGGTGCTTTGTTCGTAATACTTGAAAATTTGATTATAAAATTGGGGTTTTCATAGTACGTAGTGACGGAAATCCTCAAATGGAAGTAGCAGCAAAGTCATTGAGTCCTCTACGTGTATACGAGACCAGACAGTGAGGGTGTCTGTGGTGTGTGCTTTTATGCAGGCTGGTTGATGAGGTGCTTGATTAGTGACAGGTGCAGGTGCTCAGAACTCAGGTGAGAGGGATCGTTGTGATTGGGTGGTGATGGAGCCTGGCCGATCTGTTACAGCAAGGATGTTTTAATTGATCAAAAGTGATGATAAAGACATTTATAATGTTACAAAAGATTTATATTTCAGTTAAATGCTGTTTTTCTGAACTGTCTATTCATCATAGAAACCTGAAAAAAATCTACTCAGCTGTTTTCAACATCATAATCAGAAATGTTTTTTGAGCAGCAAATCAGAATGATATCTGAAGGATCATGTGACTGGAGTAATGATGCTAAAAATGTAGCTTTGAAATCACATTTTAAAATATATTCAAATAAAAAAAGTTATTTTAAATAGTAAAAATATTAATTTTTTTTTACTGTTTTGCTGTACTTTGGATCAAATAAATGCAGGCTTGGTGAACAGAAGAGACTTCTTTAAAAAAACATTAACAATTTTACTGTTCAAAAACGTTTGACTGTCAAAAGTGATGATAAAGACATTTATAATGTTACAAAAGATTTCTATTTCAGTTAAATGCTGTTTTTCTGAACTGTCTATTCATCATAGAAACCTGAAAAAAATCTACTCAGCTGTTTTCAACATCATAATCAGAAATGTTTTTTTTGAGCAGCAAATCAGAATGATATCTGAAGGATCATGTGACTGGAGTAATGATGCTAAAAATGTAGCTTTGAAATCACATTTTAAAATATATTCAAATAAAAAAAGTTATTTTAAATAGTAAAAATATTAATTTTTTTTTACTGTTTTGCTGTACTTTGGAT